GGGAAAGAGGGAAGGAGGCTCGCTCAGTGGTAGTTGTTAATAAACAAAGAAAATTAATTTAACACAAAGGTTAAATATAACCAGAGGAAAGGAGTAAAAAAAAAGGAAGAAATCAAATAACTCAAACAACAGAGAGTCAGAAGAGGTGTCAGTTGGGGTTTTTCCATCTACAGAACGTTTTTTTGAGAGTTCAAACATCTCAGGCTCCGGAATTCTGTTGGCTCATTCTGTGTGCGTGCGTGTTTTGGGCTTTTTTCTTTGTGCGAGTCATTAAAAAGATGATATTTACCATTGCACATCACACAAAATGATGATTGATAGAAACCAGATGCCTGCATACCGATCTCATTAAATTTCTTTTTAAGCGATTCCATTCTGCACCCTCTAATTTGTGCTCTGCGAGCTACATCTGGACCCGACGGACAGGATGTCAGGATTGCTTTTCCTCTCTCGTTTGCCCTGTTGACAACTTTAAGGACACAACCGTTCCCAGTAGCAGAGCCAAAGGAAATGATTAAGGTGCAAACCCGCTGCAGTCCCTGGGAACCTGTTTTCTGTTCAGGAGGAGAGACGCCGCTGCTCCTCCCGTCTCCCCGTCTTCCTCCCTCTCCCTGGGCGACGCAGAGCAAACCCCACACGGAGGAGCTCTTCCAGCCCGGCCGTGTCCTTCCCTCCGCAGCTGGAAAGAGGACATCGGGGTGCTGCTCGCTGGGTGCCCCTGCGCACCCACGCCCTGGCGATGCAGCCGCCCTGCCGGGGGGCTGCAGGGGGGAGATGCTCGCGAGCCCCCGCAGCTGCTGGGCGGCTGCCGCTGAACCCCCGACCAGCACGCGCAGACTTTTCGTTGCTAGATTTTCCTACCCATGCTCTCACGTTTTCTCTCGCCTCATGCTCTACGTGGGAGAAACTCCCTCTAACGTGGCCTGGAGCCTCTCCGCGTCCCTTTCCAAACCTCTCCTCCCAGCTGCTCTCCGCCCGGGTGCCCACAAAGCAGCTGAGAAGGGGTAGGCAGGTGGTGTGTGGTGCTGCTATTTATTACGCTGAGGGCTGTCTCGCCGCGTCGCTGCACGTTCCCCCTGCTCCTCCCCGTCACCTGCGTCTATCGGCGCGTTTTCAGGCCGGGGCAGGGGTGGTGGGGGCTGCCTGTGCTTACAGCTCCCAGCCCCAGGTGAGAGAGGTCTCAGCCACGGCAGTGCCACCGCCCAGCGAGACAGAAAAAGGCAGCTCTAACTGGAGGAAGAAGAGGATGATGCCTGCTTGCTCCTGCAGCGCAGCTCTGCCCGCGTCCTCTCCCCGGGGTCTCATGGACCAGTAGAGATGGTGGTGGGCGGCATCTCCAGCTCCAGTGCTGGAGGGAAAAGGGCCAAGCCCAGGGGTCCACACGCTGATGCTAAATTCAACTTCTTCTGCAGCTGAGGGAGAAGAGGTGTAGCAGGCCTTCCTCCAGATGAAGGCCACGTCCCGCTGCGAAGCCTCGGGAGCAGCCTCCAGCACAAGGCTGAGCCTCGAGGCCGTAACGCCCCGGGCACTGCAGAGCCCCAGCCCCGGGGCAGAGGGACTGGGCAACCCCAGCGAGCCTGGGAGAGGACCTGGCGGCACAGGGGCAGCCGAATACATTTGGGCTCAAGCCAGCAACCCCTGGGAGCACGTCCCGCTTGCTCGTGCGTGTGCAGCTCGCACCTCCGGGCCCCCGTTGCTGTTGTCTTCCCCTAGCACGTATGTGGATTCAGCCCAAAGCCTCTTGGCTGCGTAGGCAAATGCTAGAGGTAAGGACAGTTTTCATCAGATAAATGAACGAACAGCACCAAAGTGGCTTTCCCACACGCCTCTGGTTTCCTACAGCCCTTGCAATCCCCTT